TTTTTTTTTTTTTTAAGAGACGGGGTCTCCATATGTCCAGGCTGGAGTACAGTGGCTGTTCACAGGCAGGATCCCGCTACTGATAAGCACGGGAGTTTTGACCTGTTCCGTTTCCAACCTGGGCCAATTTCACCCCTCCTTAGGCAACTTGGTGGTCCCTCACTCCCGGGAGGTCACCATATTGATGCCGAACTTAGTGCGTACACCCAGTTGGCGTAGCACGCTACAGCCCAGAACTCCTGGGCTCAAGTGATACTCCTACCTCAGCCACCAGAGTAGCTGGGACTACAGGCAGAGAGTTTTTATTTATACAGGTTATAACTATCAGTAACATAGAAGAAATTAAAACAAATTTCGGAAGCATTCATGTATTCAATTAATAAAAACCTATTGCTTTTAACAACTTTTTATGAAAAATGACTTTACTAAAACAAAAAGTTGATAATAGCATTTTACATTTTTACAAATCTCTTCAACGTGTGCCTTAACAGAAGACAGTTTTAAACACATTTGATTGCTGTGGTATATCATTTTGGTGGAGGTATATGAAGACAATCCAAAGTCACAGATAGATGAAAAAGGGGACCTTACACAACCCCCTCCCAAAAAGGTCTCTGGAATCCCCAATTAATCTGTAGACCACATTTTGAGAGCCACATTAGAAAGTACTTATTGAGGATGTTCAATCTTTTGGCTGCCCTGGAGCCCTGGGTGACGTTAGGAGAATTGTCAAGGGCCACACATAAAATAGGCTTAACACCAGTGATAGCTGATGAGCTTAAAAAAAATTCCAAAAAAGTTTCAGTGTTTTAAGAAAGTATTCAAATTTGTGTTGGGCCGTGTTCAAACCTATCTTGGACCAAGGCTTAGACAGATTTGTTTTGAACATTTAGAATGTGATTACAAATCATTGGTATGAGTTTTATCATTTTTAATATTTCCTACTGTTTGTATTTTGTTCATACTTTAAAAATATGTCAGTAATTAAGACTAATTCCTGGAAGTAATTTGAAATATATTAACTTTCAAGACTTTATTATTAACAGAAATAAAGGGATTAGTTTTTCTGTATCCTCACACAATTCTGCACTTGGTATCAACGCAGTAATTTTCTTGGCTTTTGATTCTGAATGTTTTTGGAAATTTTAAGTATTCTTTGTTGAGTATGAAACTCAGGTGGTTTTTCTGCTTGTAAAATTAATGGAAATCAGTTGTTTTTAATTACCAAATATGGGCTCTGCTCTAATCATTTCTGTCCTGCTGTTGGAACGTTTTAATTTAGAATATGCCATGAAAACAATTTAATACTCTAGAGTTTGCTCTATGAAGAAATGTCTTCCCAACAGGCTGACAAACCAAGAGGATTTGCCAGAGGTCTTGATCCTGAAAGAATAATTGGTGCCACAGACAGCAGTGGAGAATTGATGTTTCTCATGAAATGGTGAGTGTGCAGGTGATTGTTATATTTGAAAATAAGAATAGACTTTCTTAAAAAAAATAGTTATCTACTGAGAGGGTGATTCTGGTAACTTTTACTAGTAGTGTTTTAAAGCAATGGTCAGCAAACTGGCCTGTTTTGGAAAACAAAGTTTATTAGAAAATAGCCAAAAGTAACGTATAACCTTCCTGGAGCACTTAGATACCTTTTGTTTAGACTATTTCTTTTTTTTCTTTCTTCCTTCCTTTTTTCGTGTGTGTGTGCGCGTGCGCGCACGACAAGGCTGTTTTATTTCGTGCTTGGGTGCAAGCGGGCCGAATTCGAGAAAGGACCGACAAAGGGAGAAGAGTGGGAATTGGTTTTATAGGTTGGGGCAATTTTGAGGGGGGAAGCCAGGAGTATTACAGAGTAAGATCAGTTACAGTGGTGAGGGTAGGGGCAAGGAGTATACAAAGGCAGGTTGGATAAGGTGTAGGAGTAGTTAAGGTGGTAGGGTGCAGTGGTGGGATATTCACAGAGCAAGAACAGTTAAGATGGCAGGGTGGGGTGAGAAGCTTAATGTTCATGGGAAGCTCCCCTGGGTGATAAGGGATAATGGTGAATGCAGGTGGGGGTTAGGGGAGCGGTCAGCTGAGGCAGCAGGAATTGAGACTTTCTGGGTCTAGGCTTGCACATGGAGGCCTGACACGTTTTTATCTTCAAATGTATCCAAAACAGAAGAACAGACAAAGCAGCTCCCAATTCCTGGGGGGGTTTATCCACCATTTCATGTCTCTTCATATTCCAAGGCTCTTTTTCTCACTCTGGGCAGGTGACCAGGTCTGGCTTAGAGACAGCCATACCATTTCTAGGCTTTCAGGAAGTCCTGGCATCTTAGCTGTAAATCTTCCAATACCTGCAGGTCATGAAGCCACAGAGAGCTATTTGGACTATTTCTTAAATGAATGGTTGTCAATTGACATGAACCATTTAGACTCCTGACTGAGTTTTTCTTTTTTTTTTTTTAAAAACAGGAAAGATTCAGATGAGGCAGACTTGGTGCTGGCGAAAGAGGCAAATATGAAGTGTCCTCAAATTGTAATTGCTTTTTATGAAGAAAGACTAACTTGGCATTCTTGTCCAGAAGATGAAGCTCAATAATTGTTCACTTTTTTTTTTATATATATTTATATATATATATAAAATTTGGGTCTTGTTTTTGGTTTATTAGTGTGACGAAATAACTACATCCAATGAAAATCAAGTTTGATAGGTTCGTTTTTGAAGGTAGTGTTGGAAGAGTTGTTGGGTTTTTTTTTTTTTTGGCATCCATAGCACTGGTTACTTAGAACAAATAAATAAGAGCTTTCTGTAATTGCTTCCTTGATCAGAAAAGAACATTTGATACCATGGTATATTATTTCCTCTGCATTAAAGAACAGCTTTTCTAAATGTTAGGGAAAACGTCCATAGTCATTACTCAATCAAAACTTGTGTTCTCATAAGCCTAAGGACCATTCTGGGTTTTTTTATGTGTTTTTTTGTGTATGTATACATAAAATGCATATGTAATTTTTTTTTGTTTTGTTTTTAAACAAACATTCACCAAAAAGTCACAAGTAAGCCCATGTTTCTGAGATGCCGTTATTCTGAGCAAAATAAGAGCTAATCACTTCAAGTTAAATTGAAATTTTTCCTGAAGCCATACATTTCAAGTATGTAAAGAAATAAGTGATTATAATTAATAGGACAATTTAAATTGGATAATTTTAAAGCATCTATATCTATAAATGCAGTTTTTTGTTGGCAGAATTCCTGAAAGGAAAACTTACCACTAACATTACAGGAGGTTTACCCATCCGTATGAGGAAACTAGACAAGTGCTAGTGTGCTTTAATTAGCTAAACAAAACTAAGTTAAATGAACATTTAAAAATCTGCTAGAAGGCCATTCCTTAACAAACTGTTGAAATTCCTGTTGCTACATTGACTGAAAGGTCATGATTCATGGAACATCTAAGACTTGGTTCATAGAAACCTAATCAGAGATGTTGGCGGTTTATGACCTGCTGACATAAATGTATGAACAACCTTTTGTAATCTAACCTATTGACCTGCATGTTTTTTCTTTACTCCAACTCATTCCTTACATGTAGGCTCAGTCTTTCAGTTACTCGCTTTACTGGTTCAACAAAAGCCAGGAAAAACAACTTTGTAGTAATCAGAATGTTATCCAACTGTATATTGTTTACTTTATTGTAAATACTGGTGAACAGTGGTTAATAAATAGTTTTATATTCCTTTATGCAATTAGACTTTTTTTCTTCTTTGTCCGATTGCCCTCACAATAGAAATAGGAAAGCCCACCCCCACTGGATTATCTTTGTAAATTGGATGATACCGGTAAGGCATTGATGAACATACCCTAGATCTTTTTAGCTTAAGAGTTTAAAATTTAACTAGAAATAGGTGTTTCCACAGTTGGGAGATAAAAATTAGTTTCATGTGACCACTGGGGAGTATTGTCTCATTAAAGTGAGATTTTAAAATCTGGTTTGTTGTGACTGTCCTTTAAAGAACATAAATATTCTGATAGGGCTGAGTGAGATGATAGATACATTTTAGTTGATTTCCAAAATTAATAGAGAAAGGGAAATAACTGCTGTTAATATTAAGTACTTCCTTACACACCTACCACTGCTCCGAGCAGTGGGGTTCGCAGATGACAGAGAACCTTCTATTAATATTAGTAGTGGGCCCTACATTCAGTTTTAGTAAGGACATTTCTCGAAACATATTATCCTTTGCCATGCATGGTGGCTTAACACCTGTAATCCCAGCACTTTGGGAGGCCAGGGCAGGTGGATCATGAGGTCAGGAGTTCAAGGCCAACATGGTGAAACCCCATCTCTACTAAAAATACAAAAATTAGGCATGGTGGCACACGCCTGTAATGCCAACTACTTGGGAGGCTAAGGCAGGAATATCGCTTGAACCCAGAAGGTGGAGATTGCAGTGAGCCTAGATTGCACCACTGCACTCCAGCCTGTGTGACAAGGCAAGACTCCATTGCAAAGAAAAAAGAATCTTCTAAAAGATCTCTGATTGTCCTGACTTGCATCAGATGCCCTCCCTGTAACTATCAAGTGTGAGGAGATGTGTGGAGTACTGTGATTACATCAGTCGCTAGAAGAGTGCTTTCCAGGACAGTGGATGTTTGCCTTATGTAAACAAAATGTGTAAGAGAATTCCAGCCAATTTGAAAATGTCATTTGTTTTTTTGAGATGGTCTCGCTCTGTCGCCCAGGCTGGAGTGCAGTTACTACAACTTCCACTTCCTGGCTTCAAGTGATTCTCGTGCCTCAGCCTCCCAAGTAGCTGGGATTACAGGCGCCCACCACCATGCCCAGCTAATTTTTGTATTTATTTAGTAGAGAAGTGATTTTGCCATGTTGGCCAGGCAAGTCAAACTCCTGAACTCAAGCCATTCACCTGCCTTGGCCTCACAATCTTGGAATTACAGGCATGAGCCACTACGCCCGGCCTAAAATGCCTTCTTAAATTGTTCTTGACTTTTTGAAGCTTTTTTTTTTTTTGAGATGGAGTCTCACGCTGTCGCCCAGGCTGGAGTGCAGTGGCGCAATCTCGGCTCACCGCAACCTCTGCCTCCCAGGTTCAAGTGATTCTCCTGCCTCAGTCTCCAGAGCAGCTGAGATTACAGGCGCCTGTCACCACGCCTGGCTAATTTTTTTATTCTTAGTAGAAACAGGGTTTGGCTATGTTGGTCAGGCTGGTTTCAAATTCCTGACTTTTTGATCCACCCACCTCAGCCTCCCAATGTGCTGGGATTACAGGCATTAGCCACTGTGCCCAACCTAGAAGCCTTTTTTTTTTTTCTTTTGAGATGTTCTTGCTCTGTCACCAGGCTGGAGGGCAATGGCATGATCACAGCTCACTGCAGCCTCAACTTTACAGGCTCAAGCAATCCTCCCATTTCAACCTCCCAAGTAGGTAGGACTACAGGCACACATCTCCCAAGTAGCTGGGACTATGGCTAATTTTGTTTATTTTGTAGAACGAGGTCTCACTATGTTACCCAGTCTAGTCTCAAACTCCTGGACTTAATCCTCCTGCCTTGGCCTCCCAGAGTGCTGGGGTTACAGGCGTGAGCCGCTGCACCTGGCCACTTTCTAGAAAACAAGACCATAGACTCCCTTTTTATCTTTATTCATAAGTTCTGCATCTTAGCTCCTTAAAGGAGAAAATAATATAACACTGAATCTAATATTAAATAATCTTTCATACCAACCTTTTTCCTTATATTTCAATTTTGGTATTTTTGCAGATGGAATTTTGCTATTGTCCAGGCTGGAGTGCAGTGACACGATCTCAGTTCACAGCAACCCCCGCCTCCTGGGTTCAAGCGATTCTCCTGTCTGAGCCTCTCAAAGTGCTGGGATTACAGGCATGAGTCACCACTACTGGCCATATTTCAATTTCTACTATAAGGATCAGTCGGCTGGGCATGGTGGCTCATGCCTGTAATCCTAGCACTTTGGGAGGCCGAGGTGGGTGGACCACCTGAGGTCAGGATTTCAAGACTAGCCTGGCCATCATGGTGAAACCCCATCTTA